TTTAGCGTAAATTAAGACAGTAGACTTGTTCGATGTAATAGTTATCATAATTTGTAATAGAATAATAATAAAATGCAGTCTTAAAAAAAACTCTAAAATTTTACCTATATAAATAAAAATTTAAGTAAAATTCTCAAATCCAAATATACTAAAATTATATAATAATTATTATATTGGAGAGATATTCATCCCTAATGGGGAACAAAGATTTCCTTGAAGTTTGATTCTTCACAATATCCATAAATAAAGAAATCCAAATTTCTCATTCTTCTTACCATTTTCTCATATTGATTTCAATTTTTTCTCATTGATTTTAGTTTCTATCCTAGTTCGTGTAGTTGACCAAAAAAAATCCTAGTTCGTGTCACATGTTCTCTTCTCATTTGATTATAATTGGCTCTTCTCATTTGTAGAAACAGGTTCTCGTTTTACATCAAGACAAGAAACAAAAATCCCCATAACTTTCTTTCATCGGTTTCCTTTATCCATCTTCCTCTGCTCTACTTCTTTTAAAAGATGATGAGTTCAACTTCGAACAGTTCATGGTTCTTGGTCCTCACAGTAGTCACTATTATTGGGCTCTTAGGACAAAACCTTCCTTCTGTTTTGTCTAGCCCACACCGTATTCTCTTGGACACAGATGTCGATTTAGACGATTTATTCGCTATACTATACCTCTTGAAACTCAACAAATCAGAATTCAATCTAGTCGTAAGCAAGCCCATTACTTTCTCAATCATCTCTATGTTTAATTGATATCAGCTAATCAAATGCTCTGTTTTTTCGGTAAAACAGGGGATTACACTGAGTGCAAATGCATGGACCAACGCAGGACATGGAGTGAATCATGTGTACGATATTTTGCACATGATGGGTCATGATGATATCCCCGTTGGTGTCGGTGGCGAAGGTGGGATTCTCGCCGATGGTACTATTCTCTCCGACGTCGGTGGTTATTTCCCGATCATAGAACAGGTTAAGGTTAACTCTTCTTAGGCTTTGATTGGTGACCAAGAAAAAAAAACGAGGAGGAAAATAAAATTCATGTTAAAAAATGTTATTATGAGTTGTCCATTTTAAAAAATACCATAATAAATATTTTTAAAAATTTAAATATTGAAATTCTAAATTTTAAAAAATGTCTTGATCTTAACAAATACTAAACCC